CCTTTTTTTTTTTTTTTTTTTTTTTTTGGCTTTATACCGGAGAAAACACGTCCCTCCTTCATAGCCAACTTAAGTTTTTTTACGACTTCATTAGGATGGGATTTTGTCCCTTTCAAAAAAGAAAAATCATACCATCAATGAAATTGTTTCCTATCCAAAAAAATATATATATATATTTGCAAAGATTCTTATAAAAATAGCAAAGAATATTGGGAAATGTTGCATTTTGAAGTCTCCCTTTAAAGCACTTTCTCAAAAGCATGTTGTAACTACAATTCTTTTTTTATTGATGCAATTAAGAGGAATAAATCATATTATTCCTTCAGCTTTGTCAGGGTTGAATTCTTTTCATCACTAATTATAACTTTCAATTTTATAAGTAAATTTAAGTTTCGTATTAATAAAAGAAAAGGGAGTTACTGTTTTATGGAGACATAACTTAAGGAATTAGAACAAACAATGTAAAAGGCAAATACATCTACATGTTTCAGTGAATTTGATACATATCAATAATAATGTTCAAGTCCCCACTCCCACATGTTGTACTAAATGGGGAAAAAAAATGGAAAATAGATAATTAAATTCTTAGATTATATCAAAACTGAAAACCATGGAAGAATTTGAGGAAGTTTTGATATCTTACCATGAAGGTGGTCTGGTGGCAAGATATGTTAAGTAAGAACGAGGATCATCTTGCATATCTTCAAGTTGCGTCGAGCTTGGAGAACTTGGTTGAACCTCTGAATGTACAAGCAAAGGCCTTTTGTATTTTGCCAGCACTGACAGTCCCTCCTAATAGGCATATATTTCCATCATATGATAGTATTACTTTAGCAGGCAAAAATGAAAGTATTAATTCATTCTTGCTGATAAAACAGCTGATATGAATTTTGCAACTTAAATCAACACAAACCTTGATATGAGTAATATTTGTCATAGGAAAATCATTGATCCCAGAAGGACACATAAACGACTGCAAAACAATACCAGAAAGAAATGTTATGGGGCAGAAAATTGCCAAGGTAATATTGATTTTCTGCAAATAACAAGCTAGTTCTATAGTACGGTTGAATATCATAAAATTGGTCTGAGGGTATATTTGACAAAAAGGACCGTCTATCGAAGGAAACCCCTCACTAGGAGAACACTTTATTGCTACATGAGGAATTTTCCCGATGAGAAAAATTGAGATAACTCAGAGTAGCAAGACATTTATCACTCTCCACCAGTTCGACATTGCCATTTTACTAAATAAACGGATAAAAAATCTTTTCGCCCACCACATAGGAGTTGCCACTCATGTGCATTCCATTAGGCTAAGATGTAAGCACCAAATTACATACAGAGAAATTATCAAGAAGTACCTTTAGGCCAAGAGCGCCTGCACTTAGGAGACGTTCCAGAGCAGTTGCATTGAAAGCATTCTCAGGAACAAGACCTCCCCAGAAGCCTTCAATTAATAGAATGAAATTAGTCCTCGGACTAGAAAAAATTGAGTTAGAAAAGTAAAGTTTTGAGTATACCAACGTCAACATAAATTCTTCCTTCAGCAGCCTTAATCTGTTAATGGAGTAAGACACGTTAGTAGAAAGTAGAAGGGCATTAAATTAAGCAGAAAGCGAACATGAACAAATTTATAAATGTTTATGCTGTGTGATAAAAGATGATTTGATCAATGACTTTACAATGATCATTGAAATATTTCCAGAAAACCATTAAAAAATAAACCTTGAGTTTTAGTGTTTCTTCAGACACAGTAGATGGAAAATTGTTTAAAGGCATGTCAACTAACGTAGTTACGCCACCTGTACGAAGATATCAATATCAGTTCCTCAGGTTGTCCATCTGGACTAAAGTAAAGTTCTTATCAAAAAATTATAATAATGATAAAAAAAATAAAAACTTCGAGAAGTTACTGCACTAGAATATTCTCAATTTAACAGAAACAGGTCTACATGGTTAGAAACCATAAACATTGAGTTGAAACTTAAAAAAGATGTACGTTCTGTTGAAGTCATTCATGGTACATCCATTCCTTCTAATTTCCCAAATATGAAGACAAATGAAGAAATGACAAGGGACAAAATACCAGCAGCTGCAGCTTTTGTTCCGGAAGGAAACCCTTCCCACTCAGATCGTCCAGGATCATCAAGATGAACATGGCTGCCAAGAAAGAACTCAATAGCATTAGTGATAAGGTTCCCTCTAAAGACTTGGATCACGTCCACTGGAGAAAATCCCCATCAAATAAAGCGAACTAAGTCAAGGAGATGTATAGACATTGGTTGGACTATGTCCTTCTGCTCCTCTCCTGATTGAAGGAAGTAAGTAAAAGGTAGTTAGTTGTCTTTGTCTGAGTCTTTGCTTGCTCTGTAACCTGTCTGTAGGGTAAGGATTTGGCATTGAATCCAATGGGGAAGTGATTTGGCTTTCTCAACTTTTCCTTCCTATGTTCCCACGTGATCAGTTAAGAGTTGATGCTTCAAACTCGGGCGGTGTAGTAAGACAGACGCCTCGTACGGCTCTTCCTAAGAACTGAAAGCCCCCTCTCCCTTTGGTCTCGGGGTTTCCCCCCTCTAACTAACAATTCCCTCTTTCTCCATTCTCAATTACAATACCCTAGGAATCTTGAGGATTGACTCTTACAGTTAACGATCATTGATTCTTCCAGAGTGTTGACTCTTTCATTCAGAGAGAGTTGAGGAGAAGATCAAGATCAAGAAGGAATCTTGAGGATTTCCTGACAGTTAACTCTCATTTCTTCTTCGAGAGTGTTTACCGTTTTTAAATTTCCAGAAACCACACGATTATATAGCCGGAACCTCTATTCTATTCCCTTTTGAAGGAGGTAAAGCCAGGGCTTTCCGGACTTTCCCCACCCCCTTTCCATTCTTCCTTCCCCTCTCATTCCCACTTTTTCAATAAATCAGCCCCGCCGCTATGAAAGCTTCACACAACAGCTATTTGTTGGGTGAATCGCTAAGGTGAGTAGGGCAAAATAGCTTGTTTCCTTATTTGCTAGAACGTCACGTTCCCAGACCTTAACCGGTCAACAAACACTCGATATCAAGCTGCTGGAGCCTCGTATAATCGGGATATCACAAGCTCTATCCCGAAATTAGATAGTTCAACCCTCGTTCAATAAGGGAAGATAATCAAGTAGAGACCAGCCCCATATCTCCTGCCTGTTCCGGAGAGAAGCCGAGGTTCAAGGCTAAGCTAAGAGGGAGAGGAGCGAAAGCTGTTATTCTAGGAAGCAGTTCCAGTCAAGTGGTCATCAGATTTCAAATTCTCGTCAATTTAAAGCTACAATAATTCACGACAGTATGATCATCATAGAAACTAAAATTGCCAACTACACATACGGAATCTAACCTCCTAGCACAAATTCTATCGAATCAATTTATGTCCTGGGAAAATACATAATGGACTAATTACTACCAATAACATTTATATTCAACAATAAGAGAAGGCAGAGGACCAAAATGATTTTTTAAGTCTTACATGTCAACCAAGCCAGGGAATACAACAGCATCTGAGTAATCAACTACATGTGCACCCATAATCTTCCCATGCCTTTCTTCTTCCTTAACAATGGATACAATCTTCCCTTCATTTATCTCAACTGCCCAATTAATCATTTGATAAAGAAATTTGATAAGATAATCAAGAAAAGCAAGATACAAAGCCACGAATGAACTGATGATGAAACACCTTCTGATTTGTTACTAATGAGTTGATTTGTCAAAGAGGAATTATATACTTAAATGTATCAATGTGAGGGTGCTCAGAGTAGACCAAAGCCATTTCTATGAGAGTCAAACATGACCCATAGTGAAATAAATCATGCAGCGTAGACTCAGTAAGATAATGCTTTTCCTTGTGAACCTAAGCATTAAGCAGTGTACTGACCAGCACCAGAAATGACTCCTTGTGGCGTAACAATGCGCTTGCTTGTTATCCAATAGTGCTTGTAAGGAAGCAGACTGCATTTATTCTGAGAAGGTTGAAACCAAAATGCAAATTCTATCACATAACAGACAAAATTATCATCCAGTGATTTTGATTGCAGCATAGAGTTAACAACTTCCATACAATTGATGTACATGCCCCGAACACATCTCATTCATCTTATTATGAATTGTTTCAATTATGAATTGTCATTTGATACCATGTAAGTTACCAATATACATCGAACTTAACTTGCTAGGTTAGAACTCAATTAATATATTATTCTCAAAATGGCAAAAACTCGATGATTGAAATTAAACTCCAATACCAGATCCCTAACGAAATTCATTCTGGTTTAGAAATTTCAAGAAATAAAAAGAAAAACAATCACACTGGAATCAATCTTCAAGTCTTATGAAACCGAGTTCTTCGATTTCCGTCTACCTACCTTTGCAAAGATCACTGGATGGTAAACGATACACAAAGTGGAAGATAACAAATGAGACACAAAAGAACAATACAGGAAAATACAGATTAGAAGTCGTTAAAACTTACTTCGGACGGATGCTGTAAGTAGAAAACTACGAAAATGGAAACGATCACAGTTAGTAGAGGTAACAACTTCCACTGCAGCAAATTCATCGTTCTTATCTCCCCCGCTCGTACTCAATAATGCGAGTGGATTCAATGTTCATCTAGTAGTTCGGAATTTGAATTATCTCACCGGCGCCGGCTTCACACCTGGGAATTCACCTCATCGGCTGACCATTAATGGAAACTGAACCAATCGCTAATCTCAAGATAAAGTCGAATAATCATAGCATAATGAAATGTTAAATTAACAATTCTTTTATCAAAGGGTGACGTCCAAACTCGAAATTAAAATTTTTTTTTTTTTTATGGATATGTTTTAAATAAATTATTAATTATTTCTATCTAAAATTAAATATAATTTTTTTTAACTTTTTATGATATTTTTACAAATTTATAAATATTTTTTAATAAAATACGAAGTTATATATATTATTTAGTCATAATAAAATTATTCAATTTATTGCTTTTTTTTTTTTTTTGCGACTCTTTAATCTCTTAATTAATAATATATATGAAATTAAATATATGCGCCCATTTTTGTTAATTATTCATATAATTTTCCAATTTTCCAATTTTCCAATTATTTGTTTTAATACAAAAAGTAATTCTAAACTTATAATCTTTAATGACTTAATTAATCAATTCAAAATGGAACTAATTGTTATTTAATCTACGCAATATATTTAATATTTAGGGATGGTAAAAATTAATTGAGAATTAATTAAAAAAATTTATTTTTTGAATTTATTTGAGGATCTAAATATTTTATTTTAAGATAAAAATCACAAAATAATTGATAAACATTATCTTGGTTTTTTTTTATTATTATTATAAAAAGATAAACATCGAGACAGTCATCTCTCTATTGCGCTAAAGCTAAAATAATTCGGTGGGTCACGCTCATAAGGGCATCTCGGGATGGACTTGAATCATCGGCCCTTTTCATTCACATCATTATTTTATCACTAAATCTAATTGAGGCAGTCAGTACGTGACACAGCTAATCACTTCCTTTCGATTATGCGGGAACCCGCTCCGAATGGGGAGGGAGTAGGAAACATTCTTTTTTAGATGAATGAAAATTTCACGAGAATGAGAAATGAAATAGGTGGCGGGGTGGAGACAATAAATGTTTCACTGTCCCTACCCCGCTCGTGGACATCTATAACTACCAAGGCTCCGTCCCACCTTGCTTGTAGGAATCTCTAACTATCAGTGCTCGGTCTCGAACTCCATCGGTACAAACTTTTATGGTTTTTACTAGGATCGAGAGGGACACAATTGAGAATTAAAATTTAAAATATTTAATGAGTATATAATATCACGCCCACAGAAAGTGAAATATATATATATATATAAAATGAAAATCTTTTTAATTTAAAAAATTAAAAGGAAAATTAAAGGGTTCCATCGATGGGCATTCCCCACCACGGCCTGCAAAGAACGAAGCGTCCTTCTCTGATTATTCATTTTCATTTCTATATTTGGGTGTTCTTCGAATCCAGGCCATAGCTAAATCTGCTACGAGCTTTGTGTATAAGTTACCATTTGTTTCTCCTGCTCAATCCACGACCGATTTGAATTTTGGGAGCCCCCAGGAGAGGCAGAGTCCCGCCGGAGCATCTTCTGGGAGGGGGAGCAGCAAGCAGAGACAATGCCACGGGGTGAAGAGAGAGATGAGGGTGTAATGGCCACTGACTTCTTCTGGTCATACACCGACGAGCCTCACGCTTCGAGGAGACGTCAAATTCTTTCTCAGTACCCTCAGATCCGGGAGCTCTTCGGTCCTGACCCCTGGGCTTTCTTTAAGGTTTGGTTTGTTGTTTCTGATTTTTGCTGTTTTGTGTGTTCGTGATTCTCAGAATGTAGGGAGTTTTGGTTTTTTGATTTCGTGTTTAGATCTGAATTGAGATATTGCTGGTCGATTCACATGTCATTGGCTGAATCTGATCTGTGTTCGTTTGTTTTTTCTCTTTGATTTTGAACCTTACATTTGCCACATCGCTGAATTTGTCATTGTTTTTGTTTTCCCAACCTCATTACTCGAAAATCTACATTTAAGTTTCTGAACGCTTGTTTTTGTAGGAATCTGTCCACTTCGCTACGTCTAAAATTTCATCATTCTTATTGCTTAGGATCATCTTTTTTTGTTCGATTCCTGCATTCGATCTTTCCTTTTTGCCATCTACTGTTTATTTTCCGTGGGAGAATTAGCACTTCACCTTTTTTTACCACGAACTGGAAAAGTTTTGTGATCTTAGCAGACGTTTAATTGCTTGATTCGTGTAGTCTGCAATTTAGGCTTTGAACCATTGATGAAATCTGAAAGAAAGATCATTGAAGTTGAATTTTTAGACTTATGCTTTCTGTATTCGTCAAGAAAAGCAGATTGGTTGTGATTATTTCACCAAGTTCATCATCATTTTGATTCATCTGAAGAATGAGAAATTGGATGAACAACCATTTATGCTACGAACTCACAAGTGATCTTGTAGTTTTAAAGTTGAATGTGATCATTGGAGTTTGGAAAGCCAATCATTAACTTGTTCTTGCAGATTGCTGTGGTTGTTCTGCTTCAGTTATGGACTGCTACGACCCTTCACAGTGCAGACTGGTTAAAGATATTGGCAGTAGCTTACTTCTTTGGCTCTTTTCTCAATCACAACCTGTTTTTGGCCATTCACGAGCTCAGTCACAACCTTGCCTTCTCAACCCCTGATCATAACCGGTGGCTTGGGATTTTTGCTAATCTTCCTATTGGAGTGCCCATGTCCATCACATTTCAAAAGTATCACCTCGAGCACCATCGCTTCCAAGGAGTGGATGGTATGGATATGGATGTTCCGAGCACGACCGAAGCTCGTTTGGTGACTAATATTGTTTCGAAAGCCATATGGGTTGTCTTCCAACTCTTCTTTTATGCTCTTCGGCCATTGTTTCTCAAACCAAAGCCCCCAGGCCACTGGGAGTTCATCAACTTCATTATTCAGATAGGTCTTGATTTCACCATGGTTTACTTTTGGAGCTGGAAGACTTTTGCTTATCTGATTCTCTCCACGTTCGTTGGTGGCGGGATGCATCCGATGGCTGGTCACTTCATTTCCGAACATTACGTCTTCAATCCGAAACAGGAGACATACTCTTACTATGGTCCGCTTAATCTTCTTACATGGAGTGTTGGCTACCACAATGAACACCATGATTTCCCCAGGATTCCAGGAAGCAAGCTTTACAAGGTGAAGGAGATTGCACCAGAATTCTACAATGAATTAGATTCATATAAATCATGGAGCCAGGTGATATACATGTACATTATGGACAGAACAGTGGGGCCATTTAGTAGGATGAAGAGAATGGCGAAGAAATCTGAGTAGTTGATCCGATCCTTCTCTCCCTTTTAGAATCTTTTTCCATCTGTTTTGATGGACCATTCTCTCTTGAGCTGGTTTTGCCATTGTTTTGATTATGTTCTTGGAGAGTTTATTCATTCTCTTGAAGATTGTATAGTAGCCAGGCATGTTCCTTGTTCACTGTACTGTACTCGATTTTCAGGGCTTTTTGAGGGACCGTTTGTAAAAGGAGCCGAGCGTTAGCCAAACTAGATTCTCATAGCTTTGGTATTTTGGCAATTTACCATTCTTACTTTGTCTACGTATTTTCATCTTAGTGTGTCCACAACTTTGAATTATGTTTATGTTTACCCTTTTTCATTTTGTCGATGGTTAGGGACGAAGCAGCTGTGGAGAATGTTTAGTTTCTACGAGTGGGATGCTGATATCCGAATCTCGTACTTTTTGATTGAGGGTATATTACTTAAACAATTGAGTTACTGTTTGGTGCTTTTTGATTGAGGGTATATCACTTAATCAATTGAGTTACTGTTTGATTTCACATCGGTTGGAAAGGGGAACGAAGCCGAAGCATTGTGAGATTCCACATTAGTTAGAGAGGGGAACGGAGTATCCCTTATAAGGGTGTGGAAACCTCTTCTTAATAGATGATGGGAACAAAATATTTTTTACAATGGTGTGGAAACCTCTCCCTAGCAGATGCGTTTTAAAATTGTGAGGGACCCTTTGTAAAAGGAGTCGAGCGTTAGCCAAACTAGATTCTCATAGCTTTGGTATTTTTGCAATTTATCATTCTTACTTTGCCTACATATTTTCATATTAATGTGTCCACAACTTGAAATTTTGTTTATGTTTACCCTTTTTCATTTTTTTCATGGTTAGAGACAAAACGACGGTGGAGAATGTTCAATTTCCACACGTGGGATGCTGAGATTTGAATTCCGTACTTTTTGATTGAGGGTATATCACTTAATCAATTTAGTTTCCACATCAATTAGGGAGGGGAACGAAACATTTCTTATAAGGGTGTGGAAACTTCTTCCTAGCAAACGAGGGGAACGAAGCATTCTTTACAAGGGTGTGGAAACCTCTCCTAATATACGTGTTTTATAATCGCGAGGCTAACGACTAACAGGCCAAAGTAGACACTATCTACTAGTAGTTGGCTTGAGCGGTTAAAATTACGGGAGATTTTGGATGAGATAAAATTTGAAATCTTGAATTAAAAAATTCTTATATGTGCCATTATAGAAATAAATTAAATGCTCGATAACTTAGTTCATGTGGACCGTTCATTTCCTTTCTTTTTAAAAAAAAAATCTTGTGGACCATTCTTGAAAATTATATTTTGTACGAGTCCTATTGGACAGAAATGATAGCGACATTCATAGATGATACCAATCGTGGCATTCCAATCGATAGCGACATTCATACGGAGTCCTTTTCTAATTTCAAAGACATAAACATATTTTTAAAACCTATTATTTTAATTTCCAAAAACTTGGCTTGATTTTTCCGTTCATAAATAAAAAATGATAAAAAAAAAACAAATAATCTCATAAATAAAAGTATTATTAATAAATTTAGTTTTTAAAAACGAAAAAACCAAATAACGTGACCGGTATAATTTAGTTTTAATATTTAATAAAATGACAAATTTAATCACAAACTTTTAGGTTTATCTAATATATATTCTCAACTTTTAATTTTGGTTTAACGAATTTCTAAAATTTAAAATTATTGATTTATAAATTTCTTCCTATTAAACATGATGTAATAAATAAAAAATAAAAATTCAATCAATTAAACCTATAATTTTACTAATTTTTTTAATCCCATATATATATTTTTTCTAACAATTTGTTTTATCCTCTGATATTTCTACTGCT